TATATAAAAATGTATATATCGTTACCCTCCCCAGATGTATATATATATATATATATATATATATATATATATATATATAGTGATGAAGGCGGAGACTTGAAAAATCCATGGTAATATTTTATTTCACAAGACCGATTAATCAATCTCGTCTCATCAGACAAAACAATATATATACATATATATATATATGTATATAAATAAAAAGAAAGAACAGTAAGATGTATAATCCGGTGTTCTTATAGGTATTTTTATTTTTACAAAATAGTGCTCAATGTAAATTTACAGAGCATTAATATTATAAATTAATTGAATTAAAATATGGTTCTAACCATGTTTCAAAAATGAAAAAAATTTTGAAACATGGTTAGAACTGTGTAGCTGAAAAAAACATATTTTAAATCAATTAATTTATAATATATATATATATAAATAAAAGAAAGAACAGTAAGATATAAAATATATAAAATATATATATATATATATATATATATATATATATATATATATATATATATATATATATATATATATATATATATATATATATATATATAAGTCAACACTTAGAGGCGACTTTTATATTTAGACAAGCTCTATCTCTGACATTGACCACTTTTTCCCATAAATGTAGCACACCTTAAGACTATATCTCTTTTATATATATATATATATATATATATATATATATATATATATATATATATATGTATGCATGTATGTATATAACAGGTAACAGATATATTGGTATATAATCCAAGTGGATCCTACTAATATCAAATATTAAAACTGATCCACTAAAAGAGCTCAATGTATTTAAAATAACAGAGCACATAAATTACACAGCAAAATACCTCACGCGCGTATAAATCTATTTCAGCCAAAGTTAAGTACGTTATAAGTATATATATATATATATTAATGATAAAAATACGTTTTGTTACTCACAGATTTGTACAAAACAAAGTTTCATGGACATGGCAATCGTCAGGCACAGATTGAAAACTGACCGTTGTAAAATTTAAAAAATAATATTTATAACCTAATTACGCTTGATATTTACTTATTAATATATATATATATATATATATATATATATATATATATATATATATATATATATATATATATATACACAAGAAAACACACCTACTGGGTGTAACATCAAAATTGTCTAAATGTTAGATTAAGATATGAATCTGACACAAAATGATTTAAACCTGTTCTCTTTCTAGCTGAATAACTCAAGTTGAGGGTCAGTAAATCTTACGACAAATGGTGTCAAGATGGGTAAATATCTTATCTGAAAACCTGGAAAAAAGAAACTCAATTAGTTTAGTGTTTTTTTTTTTTTAGATATTAAAAATTATTGGGATGGACAATTACCCCATGCTGTTAGACATTTTGGACAATTTTGTAACACAGTCGGTATATATATATATATATATATATATATATATATATGAAGACAAATATATGGAAAAACAAAAATCCGAATATGCAAATAGGCTGTTTTAATGTTGATTCAATGTCGACGTCAGACGTTTCGGTCTAGTAGACCTTCTTCAGGACATAGTTATTAAGACATAATTAACATTAGACGATATTCAAGTCAACATGAAAAGACGATAGACATAAGAGTAAGACGAAAGAGAATAACTGATTTTTTTAAGATCATCGTTCCGTTTCACAATATGATCACGTCGGCGTTACGTGGGCGATGTTGTGAAAACGTATTCCTAAAATAGACCGAAACGTCTAACGTCGACATTGAAACAACATTAAAACAGCATATTTGCATATTCGGATTTTTGTTTTTCCATATATTTTCTTCATTCTGTCGGATATATATCCATATATTTACATATATATATATATATATATATATATATATATATATATATATATATATATATATATATATATATATATATATATGTATATGTGTGTGTGTGTGTAAGCAAATGTAAATGGATATAGATCCGACAGAATGAAGAAAAAATTTGTACACACAACTAAAGCAGATCATAATTTCGATTTCGATTCCGTGAAGGTATTAAAATATTTTCATAATAAAAATCTCAGGAGGATTTATGAAGCAGGTATAATATCCATCTCACGCACGGTGAATACTAGACCTGGTTTCTTTAATATTCCCCCTTTTTTAGCGAGATTAATGCTCGACAGGCATACACATAAAAATTTTTAGATCCTAATAGAATTCTTTTCATTTTCTTTTTCATTCAAAATAATCAAAAATTTTTAGGAATACGTTTTGAAAGCGTCGCCCATGTGACGAAAACGTGACCATGCTAAACGGAAAGGTGATCATTTTAAAAATTTTCAGTTATCTGTTTTGGATAAGACTTGTTTTTATGTCCATCGTCTTTGTCAAATTGAACTGAATTGTATTTTAATGAATATTGTCCTGAAGAAGGTTTATTAAACCGAAACGTCAGACGTCGACATTTCATTCATTTTAAACAACATCATTGCATTTAAGGATTTTTGGTTTGTTTTTTCCAAATTTTTCTTCATATGTATGTATGTATGTATGTATAATTTGATAATATATATATATATATATATATATATATATATATATATATATACAAATATCAAGCGTAATTTTAAATTCCAAGACATATCAGTGTAAATTTAATAATTAAAAACAACTGGTTTCGTCCCAGTCTTATCAAGTTTTATTCCGAAAATTACTAAGGACAAACATGAAAATGAATTTATAGGATGACTAATGAGGGGGAAAAAAAACTTTCAAGGAAAACTAGAAGCCAATAATATTCAGACTCAGGAAGCAATCCCTCTGTTTACAGAGAGAAGGTTTGCAGGATCTGATATATATATATATATATATATATATATATATATATATATAAGGAATCCACGACCTTGAGATGATATGAATAGTGAGACCGGGACAAAATCGAGAAACGGTCCATACTAAACTCAGTAATACAACTCTTGGTATTATATATATATATATATATATATATATATATATATATATATATATATATATATATAGATAGATAGATACATACATACATACATACATACATACATACATACATACATACATACATACTTAGAAAGTTTTTCAAAATGGGTGTAGAATAAATTCCTTCAATTAAAAGGAAAAAAATAGTACCTAGAAAATAAAAGAAATAGGTAAAGAAAATGATTAAAGAATGAAATTCAAAGAGATACATACAAGTAAGACAGGTAAAGATATACTTTTTCACGTGGCTTCGCAGACGAAAGTAAAGCAAGGAGTGACTTTCCTTTGTTTTGCTGTCAACGGCTATCTAGTATAGCCGAATTTAAATCCCAAGACCAAAGGAGGGGGCAGTGCTAATATTGGTATGTGTCAGCATTAACTTCTCGTTGAAGCCGACACTGCACTTCTCTGAGCCAGTATATATATATATATTATTCCTTTATTATAATTTTATGATATAGACAATACCATTGTACTCACTACAAAGATGCAACCTGGTTTCAGTGCATTTCAACTGCACTTCGACGGGTGAGAATCGAATTTGGTTATGAACAATCCTGCTTGTATGAAAGCCGTATGTGAAACGTCACTTCCTTTTTTCCATTTGTTTGAGAAGAAAAATATACATTTAAAAAAATGTAGGTGACGGCGTGAAACAATAATGCTTGTTGATAGTAGTTTGGTTATGAATGGATTGGGTGTTTAATGCTGACTGGTCTGTGGAAATTTTCCTTCTGATAAACACCGGTCAAAAGTCCACGCTCATCATCTCACAAGCGGAAAAAAGGAAGTGACGTTTCACACACGGCTTGCCTACAAGCAGGATTGTTCATAACCATTTTCGATTCTCACCCGTCGAAGTGCAGTTGAAATGCACTGAAACCAAGTTGCATCTTTGTAGTGAGTAAAATGGTTTTGTCTATATGATAAAATTATAATAAATGAATAATTATCGCTCTACTATCGGTATCGAGCCCTCTTTTGGATTAATGCTGTGAACGTTGGAATTTATATATTACTTTCGTTCTAATCGCTTCAGAGATATATATATATATATATATATATATATATATATATATATATATATATATATATATATATATATATATTATTCCCTGTAGAACAACATTTCCGCCTAGAAAAACCATTCACTATAATTGAGAGAATAGAAAAGTTCAGAGCAGATAACTTGAGAAAGATTTTAGAGTTCCATGAAAATAAGTGGATACAACGTTTAAAATCTCACTATCCAGCTGGGCTTAACCATAAATTTAACAATATAGATAGTATTAATATATAACCCTACAAATCAAAACCTACCCACATTTCTCACCCACACAAGACAGACATGCTTACGGAGGTGTTGACGTCTCACACTCATACACACACCCACACAAATATACACATTTACACACGTCATACTCACTCACTCCCTAATGAGCCAAATGATAACACACACCCATAGTAATATACACGCTTACACACATCATACTCACTCTCTCAGAACCAAATAACACACACACATTTAAGAGACACATCCCCTTTCCAGGAACCAATAAAACTGTCAAAATGACCAAGGGAATTCAGAGCAACATGAATCCATCCAGTTCTTATCTCAAATAACAACTTAAAAGAGACTGTTTTACCAACACAAGGGCTGACCAAAATTCATGTTAAAAAATAAAAAAAACAAAACAAATGAAAACTACAGACAACTGTAGTTCACTCCCCTCAACAAACGGAATTTTTTTTCTCCTGATGATGGCCATGTTGGCCGAAACTAGTCGAGCAATCTAAGTGAAATAATAAAAATGAAAGAATATTAATATGCAACTCAGTGTGTCTGAAGATTTTAATTTTATAATATTTTTTATTATATAAATATATATATATATATATATATATATATATATATATATATATATATATATATATATATATATATATATATAACATAAATTAGATAGTTGCATACAAACAAAATCTAGGATACATATACAAGCAGGTTACGATAGATAGATAGATAGATAGATAGATAGATAGATAGATAGATAGATAGAAACAGCCAGACAACATAAATTAGATAGTTACATACAGACAGAAAATCTAGGATATATATAAATATAAGCAAGTTAACATAATGATATAACTGACAGAGAGAGAGAGAGAGACAGAGACATGAATAAACTGAGATAGATAGATAGATAGATAGATAGATAGATAGATAGATAGATAGATAGATAGATAGATAAGATGAGATACGGTGAAACTCGCATAGACAGACACCGAACATAACATAGACATTCACTCTTACACAGACACACTAGCATTGGCATTCACTGACAGACAGACGATTATTACACAGAAAGGCATACGGACAGATAGACAGAAAAATAGATAGATACGAACAAACCGAGATAGATAGATAGATATTAACGAATCGATATAGATAACCTGATAGATAGATAGATAGATAGATAGATAGATAGATAGACAGACAGACAGACAGACAGACCAATTAATAAAGGAAATACAAAGTAACTAGGAAAGATAGATATATAGGTACTATAATTTGACGTCATGAACTAAGGTCGCGTTCAGATAATGAATTTTGTGGAAGGTTTATATACTTTAGTACAATTTTTTTTTTTTTGAGAACTTTTATTTTTTTATTTTTAACTGTTTTCGAAGTTGCCTCAGGTCAATTCAAGATATTAAAAGCTTTTAAATTGGTGCATTTTGAGGACGAAAATAGACTAATTTTCTTTGAAATCTCTCAAAGGCAGAAGGTGGGCGGGGCATGAGTGGGGTGGGTTGTGATATGAATTTGCACCTTTTGGTTTTATTTCATGGTCGAAGGCATTACTTTTTAATATTTAGCCGTTTGGTCGCTAGCATTTCTTTCTGTTATTTGGACGGTCATTGGCGACGCTAAATAATCCTTTTCTTTCCTGTTTTTTTTTTCACAAATGATAGAGCCAAAAATCCGTACAACATCGAGTTCTTTTTTAAGCACTGTTCCCTAAACTCTCAGATGACGTCTCGTATAATCAATTAGTTCAAGTAAAAAAAAAAAAAAATATGATAAAGTCCGTTTTTTTTTGGGGGGGCTAGTAAGAAAAAGTTTGCAGAGGCTGGTGGTCCGAATATAGCGAAATAGAAAACGAGATGAATATAATTTTTCTTAATCATTTCAACCCAAGCAAGGCAATAAAGCCACTAGCGTGCAAGGGGTTAATAAGTGTTCGAAATTATGAGAAAATCACTATTGAAGAGAGAGAACAATAAAGAATTAAGAAGACAGAAGATAACGATTGACATTGTATTTAAATTTATGAAGATCAAAGTTGACTGGGAAGCAAGAAGCTAGAAGAGAGTTCCACAAGTGAGAAGTGCGGGAGAAGAAACTCTTAGAATAGAACTAGGCCAATAAATTCCCAACGTGAGGCGCACGCCCCACCGATGGGGCATGGTAATATTTTGGTGGGGGCATGCGTAGGATGTGCAGCCTTCGGCTTACTATACCAAGAGAATAAGGGGACAATTCGAGAATGAGTTATTAAAAGTGAATTGTTTTCTAGTAAGCTCAAATTTCATTTTGCATTATTAATTCATGATTAAAATGATCAAAGTATATTACAGAATAAGCTTTCATTCAAATATTTTATATTTTTGCCGTTCAGTTCTCCATCATATGTTCTGAAACTATATATATATATATATATGTGTGTGTGTGTGTGTATGTAAAAATATATAGAATATAGGAAAGAACTCGTTAGGTAAATAATCCAAATTTTTTTAGCATTTTTGTTATTATTTTTTTAAAAAAATAGCTTGGTACTTTAATTCAATTTAATTCGAATAATTATATTGAAGTTTTCGGCTCTTGTTTTGAAACATGAGAACTCTTATGTAGCGGTGGAATCATATTTTTAAATAAATAATTATATATATATATATATATTAGTAGTAATAATCTCATAGATATAAGAATTTATAGTTGTCCGGAAAACCTCCAGTGTCTTGATTTGCGAATAAACAAGCCAATACCAAAGCGAAAAAATGTATTAAAAAAAAAGAACGAACCAAGAACATGTACGTCAGCCGAAAATAATCGTCTAGCATGCATGTCCAAAGTCCAAAGAAAAAAATCCCCGATACGAGTAAGCAAAATAACTATATAATGTGCTCAATACGGTAAGTAGAGCAGATCTAGTAAAAACTAGAGAGCCAGACAAACCTACCAAGGTTTCACCTAAGCAGATCGTCAGAGAAGGCTGAACTAATTAACTAACCATATATATATATATTTAAAATATATATATATATATATATATATATATATATATATATATATATATATAACAGTCTTTTTTTGTCTTTTTTTATTTTTCTCTTTCATGGATTTTTTTTTTTTTTGTGAGGCTTGTTTAGAGACCAAGATAATGGCCTTTTAATCTTCCTTCATATGAATTCCAGTAAAATTTTGAATATGTAAGAATGAAATATTACAGGATAGGGTCACCAGAATTTTAAAAATACCAAAGTCGGGCATGGCTCCAAATCGATTGGGAAACACTGATTTAGATATATTAACTGTATAATCATGAGACCTAGTCGACAATCTAGTACTGCGTTTAAATTCATAAAATCTAGATACCACAAAGGAAACTTTATCAGAACAATTACCATGAAAGTGTTTATAGAACAGGCATAGAGAAGCCAGGTTAGCTTTTTTGGCAGATTTATCAAAAAAGCTCTAAACAGATACCAGATGCACCAGATCAGATGTGGCAGAAATATTCAAAGCCACTATGGATGGTAGTCTTATAAATATGTAATGATACTTTCAGTTAAGTAAACAAACTTTGATTTTAGTTTTATTGATGAATGTAGAGCTACATTGGATGGCCCTTTGATAAAGGGTGGGGCCCTTCATCGAAGTATTCAACCAAGACAAATTAGAAGACAACAGTTTGAATATGGAGTGAATTGTTTTGTTTATATTTTATTTCTTTAATCCTTTCACCTCATCATCATCAACAAAACTGTTTCAATTTGAGATCATGAATTAACATGTTCTCTCATCTTTAGTGACATTGTCTACTGTTTCGACAATATTTTTTCCAGCTTTCTCTCTCCTCTGCGAGTTTGTAGATTCATTGCAGATCTTGTAAACTTCTCTAAAGGAAAAATGGGATCTTTCTGATTTCTTCTTTGAATGTCTCGGTTTAGCGTTGTAACTATGGTGGTTCTTGGATGACCGCTGAACTTTTTGAAGTCAGTATTTTTCAAAGTAAAACTCCCTGGCTTTGTTAGCTGGGCATTCTGGATCCATTCTCAAAATATGTCCAAGAAGTTTCCATCGCAAATATTGTCTTTCTCAGTATGCAGCGTCTTAAATAAGCTGTTACTGCGTAGCTATTACCTATTCCGCCAAATACCTACTTCCCAAGTGAGGTGATAAAGCCACGAAGACGCAAGGAGCGACCGAGAAACGTTATTCAGGAGTGACAAGACAATAAAAGTCCACGATTAAAAAGAGAGAATGTCACGTTTGACATTGCATTTAAATTTTTGAAGGTTGTAGATGACAAGAAAGCAGAAAAGATTTATATAATCAAAAAGTATGAGAGAAGACATTATTAGCATAGAACTTCCGGTTACATCCAATACTTTCACCTGCAAAATGATGAAACCAATCTAGTACAATTCTTAAATGTTGCCAATATTTAAAGTCGAGTTACCCAACAGGAAAGCTCATTACCATGAAAATATTTATAGAAAAGGCCCAGGAAATTTATGTTACGCCGGTGGTAAGATGATTGAAGTCAAGTTGCGATGCCTGACAAGAGAAGCATGTTTGGTCAGAATTTGAGTTGGGAATCTAGTAAAGGAATCGACCAAATGAGTTGAGCAACTAAAAATTAGAAGTCTGAAGAACTGCAACATCAAACACAAGGAGTTTCGAAGATGAATTTAAAGAGCGAGACAGAACCATTTCTGTACTGTCAGATATTTTGTCTAAAGTGCTACAGTCCCGAGAAGTAGGGCAACGACACGGGAAAACAGGCGTCTCTAACAAAGTGTAATAATGAAAGTAGAAAGCACATAAAAAAAAAAATCATCCGGGAACTCAAAGGAAGATTTTCCCAAATATAAACACGAAGACAATGCTTCCATGCACAAGCATCTTTTCGACAAGATATCCTGGAATAGCGAATTCAGAAATAGCGACAGAAGAATTTTGATTAGTTGGAAATTCGCTTAAACATCCGAAGAATGTTTCAAGATTACACACTTTCGAAATTGGTATAAATACTATGAATACTGAAGAAATAAATATTGGGTGGCGCTTTTTGCATATTGGTTTCCTTGTATTATTTATAATGGTTGTATTAATTCATTTAATCTTTACGGTTTATCAACCCTTTCTAGTCTATTTAAAGCCAGAAAGTATTTTTAGGCTGTAAATATTTTTCGGAGATAATGATTTACTGATACAAGTCCTACTGATTAACCCATAGCTGATGGATTTAGATACATACCTTTCTCAAGGGCATTTGCGTGTAAGCGAATAAAACAGTGGTGGGAAAGTTTCTGAAGCCGAGACGCCAGAACAGGACCAATAATATTGCTGATTTTTCGTTGGATTTTATGAAGGATCTCTATTTGCTTATTTTATTGATGACAATAACATTATAATCCTCTTCAAAATTGATGGACTACATTGAATTCTTATGTAAGTATTATGTAAATTGCCCAAAACGTTCAACTATTATCTCGAAAAATCCATTTGTTTTTGTAAAAATCATTTAAAAGTTGGTTCTACTCTTTCTATTTTCAAAAGTTGGTTCTAATGTTTCTATTTTCTTGTTTCCAAACATACTGAATTTGTTAGAACGTGATTAGCACCTAGAGAGCAAAACAAGTTGAAATGGTGTCCAGGTTCAAATGCAATAAAAGTTTTAGGCCAACGAGATAAAATCATAATGCATTTTTATTTTATTAAGAAGATAAGACTGTTTATTTTTATCAGTAGTAGGATTAAAAAATAAATTGTTGCATTTTCTTAGTTGACTGACTAAATGATGATAAACCATTTTAATCAGCTTGAAGCTGAAAAATGGCCATGCAAAAATATTGGGCCAATGAGAAATCTGAGACTATAAAGGCATGACAATATGTAAATTTCTAAGCAGGAATTATTCCATGTTATTAATATTACTTTAAAGTGCCTTGTCAAGCCATTATAGTTAAACATGTATTTTCGCACAAAAATCCTAACTAAAATTCCTGCTTAAACAAAAGTGAATGTTGTAACATTAAGGGGGAGATAATTCAACATGAGACAGTGCCAGTAATCTCCAGAGACAATGATACCCCCCCCAAAAGCCGTTTGTTATTACCGGAAGTAGTTACTACCGGATGCTTCTTAGTGTTTCATCAGCGTACATGTTGCTGAGCCGTAGAGCAAGACAGATTCTACCATGGCCTTAAAGAAGTCCCTCTTAATATTGTCAGAGAGAGAGAGAGAGAGAAAGAGAGAGAGAGAGAGAGCACTTCCAGACCATTATGAACACCCAAGGCCTTGCCTTTGCGGATTTTGATGTCTGTCTCCATTGTATCAGTAGTAGGATTAGAAAATAAATTGTTGCGTTTTCTTAGTTGACTGTCTAAAAGATGATACACCATTTTAATCAGCTTGAAGCTGAAAAAAGGCTATGCAAAAATATTGGTCCAATGAGAAATCTGAGACTATAAAGGCATGAGGCCTGAATGTTGTAACATTAAGGGGGGTGATAATTCAACATAAGACAGTGATGGTAATCTCCAGAGACAGTGTTCAAACCCTCCAAAAGCCGTTTGTTACTACCGGAAGTAGTTACTACCGGATGCTTCTTGGTGTTTCGTCAGCGTTCATGTTGTTGAGCCGTAGAGCAAGACAGAGTCTACCATGGCCTTAAAGAAGTCCCTCTTAAGATTGTCAGCGAGAGAGAGAGAGAGCGCAATTCCAGACCATTAAGAACACCCAAGGCCTTGCCTTTGCGGATTTTGATGTCTGTCTCCATTGACTGGATGTTGCTGCCGAGGTAAACAAATTCTTGGACGATTTGATGATTCAAATGATAATAATTACAAATGATAAAATTCTACAGAGCACTTATAGTGAAGAAATACTCAATATATTTATTTTTTCCTTCCAATCATCTCTGTCAGACATCGCCGTCGGTAAGTCCTCCAGATGGAATCCAGAGTCATCTACAAGTTGCTCAATGTAGGTGTGATGAGGTCTTCCAACCTATCTTTTGCCGCGAAACGGGTTCCATCGGAGGGTGTCACACAAGTTCTGACGTACTTCTCCAGGAGAGACCAGCATAACGATGCTTATAGTGATTTTGTAAGCGTAGCTTAGTTGCGGCACAAGGCCAAAAGTATGGGTCGACCAGTGAGGATCGAACTCACTATTCAGTCATAATTGATCTAGCGAGGCAAGTTTGTTAACCATTATACCACGTCGAAATTACCGGCATAAGGATACTTATAATTCTCTATTAATCACCATACAGTATTAACGAACACGCAGTAATTTTCTGGCCTTCAGAGATCATAAATTGTACCCCGAAATGCATTCTACTAATCACACTCGATTTTCTTTTGAGGTAGGAGGAATTAACAAAAGTAATTAATTTACAAACGTGGCCCAAAAGTTTTACACGACAGTGTACACACATATATAATATAATATTATCCGGAACTAAAATACTATTATAAGTTCGTCGTAAATTAAATAAAAAAATGACCAGAACGAGGCAAAATATTCTTCAACTCTGAAACTGCGGTTTCAACAACTAACGTTATATTTTTATCATAGATGTTTCGACAGAGTGTTTCTTCATCTTCAGCAAGCCTTGCTCGTTTCGAAGCATAGCTGGTTGTGTGTCTTCAACAGCCACATAATCTGAATCTCTCTCAATCGTCTCAGAGATTGAACTCATAAAACCAGAACACGAGTTTTGATCCATTATTGTACGAACATTTTGAATTTAGTTTTTCTAACCACACATTTTTACCATGAAGATCAGGAAAAAGCTGTCGTTCGTTTTTCAGTTTATAAATACTTCCCCAACAAGATGCTTTCCATTATATTCGTTATGATGACATCATGCGCGAGCCGACATCCAAACTAAATTCTCCTCTGGCTTAAGTGTATCTATAAGCTTTTAAATGCTTCTAAAATCACAATCTAATGTTCACAGTCCCTATTTTTTTTTGTTTTTAAAATTGTTTTGTCTTGTATATACGTATTGTTTGCTAGTATTTGGCTTATTCTGGCGGAAATAACAGTATATTGTAATCTCCATGAACACGAATGTTATTTTTGTTACAAAAATTTCAAGTTAGTCTACAACATAAGGTATGAGTTTTATGTTCAACATGCAACGTTAATATTTTTGCATTTAAAACTACACCATCCTTCACAGTTTTTTTTTATAATGTATCCATTGGATCCAGAAATACATTCTCTTGTCCGTAAACGGGAAAATTAAAAAGTAATGAAAAAAATCCTTGCCTAAAGGACACTTAGATCAGAAAGCAAAAGTTTGAAATTCCATGACACATGCTGAGGAAAGAGAGCTTGGAGAATTGAAGGGATGAGGGAACATTAAGCTACCTAGCTTGTGTAAATGGCTGACAGAACTAGCAGTTTGGCAAAAGAGAGACATGGTTTTTTTTTTCATTCCAAGCAAGGCGAGAATGCCAGTAGTACGTAGGGGGTTACAAAGAGTGAAGGTGAGAGGAAAAAAACTGGGTATGGGGAGGAGGGAGAATAAAACAGTGGTTCTCAACCGATTTGGGGCCTTGCCCCACTTTGGTATTTCTAAAATTCTGGGGCCTCCCTATAATATTTAATTCTTATATATTCAAAATTTGACTGCAATTCACGTGAAGAAAGCTTAAAAGGCCATTAACTTGGTCTCTAAACAAGCCTCTAAAGACCATGGCGTCCATGAAAAAGAGATAAAATACAAATATATATATATATATATATATATATATATATATATATATATATATATATATATATATATATATATATATATATATATATATGCATATATATACGCTAAAATTCACCTTCATCCTGCCGACGGCTTAGTGGTAGAATCTCCGACTGACACCAATCCAGTCGGTTTGCGATCCTAGCTAGAGGCAACCGGATGTCTAGACACACTGATGAGCTGCGAAACAGCGAAACAGTCTGTCTGTGGATGATATATATATATATATATATATATATATATATATATATATATATATATATATATATATATTAATAGAGATTTTATAAGTATAAGATACTATACTGCTCGGAAAACCTTCGTCAGGAAAGCCATCTTTCCCGGACGATCCCTTAGGTGAATCCTTGGTAGGTTTGTCTCGCTCTCTAGGTTTAACTAACTAACTAACTAACTATATATATATATATATATATATATATATATATATATATATATATATATATATATATAGTTTCGAAACATATAATAGAGATCTGAAAGGCATAAATATAAAATATTTGAATGAAAGCTTATTCTATAATATACTTTGATCATTTTAATCATAAAATAATAATACAAAATGAAATTTGCGCTCACGTTGGTATAGTAAGCCGAAGGGTGCACATCCTGCGCATGCCCCATCAAAATATTATCATGCCTCGCTTTGGGAATAATTGGGATAAAAGATGAACGGGGTTCAAAAAGATGGCGATTGACATTGCATTTAAATTTTTGAAGATTTTTAATTATCAATGAAGCAAGCAACCAGAAGAGAGTTCCACTGGCGAAAAGATTAAGAATTATAATTGATCAGAAAATGCAAGTAGCAAAATCGGGAGATTTTCCCGGGCATTTCTGGTAATTCTAAACTTGCTACTGATACTAAATTAGAGAAGAAAAAAAAATCACAAATCTCCGTTTATGAAAAGTTGGCCCGAAAATGCCTCATAATGAACAATCATAATTTTGCCGACTATCATTGAAGGCCGGGTAAAACAGAATACATTTTTAACAAAAAGTAATTGTATTATTCCCTTGTATACTGATATCCAAACAAACTTGGCTGAAAGCAATTAGATACTGTATCCGTCGAGTTTGTATATTTGGTTTTAAATTAAAAAACAAAATTTCTTCCCACCCCCCTCTCTCTCTCTCTCTCTCTCTCTCTCTCTCTCTCTCAATTTAAAATCCTCCAGACATGATTGCGAGACAGAAGGAAGTGGTTGACTGGTCCGGTGTTGGAATAAACAAAATCAAGATACTTCTACGAGTTAAGAATTCTAAGCCGACAGGATGCCGAAGGGAATCTGTGTGTGACATTTTAATTTTTTTATTTATTCACAAGGAAACAAAAAATTGTTTTTACTCTGATAGCAAGAATTTTTTTTTTTTTTAAATAAGTCACTTATTCTACAGAATGAAAAAAATATTATGAAATCTAGCAAATAATAGCTTGGCTACTTAGAAATTAGGTTGTTAGGGAGGACCTAAGGTCAAATATATCTTTTCTTTGTTTCCGGGTAACACTCCATAAAACTGAAATATTGTAGATATTGTCAGAGTATTTTTCTCAGTAGGTCTCATAGTATTACAAATATGAGTTCAATACAAGGTCAGTGGTGAACAAAAACTTGGAGTATTGAGTGAAAGGAAAATTAGACATCTGGAAGAGGCATGGCACGTAGAACTAGAACAATCTAACCCCGGTGGACGAAATTATGGGTTCGGTTCGAAATTCCAATCACCTGAAGAAGGCCGGAGCGTACAATGTTACAATAGCCGAAACCTTATGAATATGGCAAAGAAGATGAAGATAACAGTCCAAATAATGTAAATAATATAAGTAAATATAATTAGGCTCTAGAAATTTGTCACTTTTTAAACATTTCTCTCGTGTACCTCTACGATTTCCTCGTACTG